CTTTGACCTGTCCGTCTCCTCTCCACCTATCTTCTCCTTTATCCATCTTCTATCCGCCTCCCCCCTCTCTCTATATATTTCAGAATTCCCTTCCCCTCCCCTATTACTGAAGAAGGGTCCAGACCCGAAACGTCAGCTTTCCTGCTCCTCTGATGCTGCTTGGCCTGCTGTGTTCATCCAGCTGTACACCTTGTTATCTCAGATTCTCCAACATCGGCAGTTTCCACTATCTATGAAGAAATGTTGTTCACAATTAGATAGTAAATGATAACACACTCATTTTAAGGAAATGTGTTTTAAAAGGAAAAGATTGCACTCTTATGTCCAAATAAGTCTCTTTCACAACTTTTCTACACTGTTGTACAATTTAAATTGCTCTATTGCATTTAATCTTTGTTTTAAAACAGAGGTTTACTTTTAAGTAAGAGTTAAAACATTGTAACATGTTTTGTTAATACCTTTGGGGAAGATTTTTCTGCATCGTCATATCCTAGTGACATTGTAAACAACTGGAAAATTTCCTCTTGATTACTTTTTTTCTGTAAATGAAAATGGAATCTTTTAGAATGTCTGTATAATTTGATTAGAAAGAAGAACTGAAAATGTCACTGTTTCCAATGCTGCAAACATAATCTCCATTTCATTACAAAAAGTTGCATATTCTTCAAAATAATTTCTCCGCTAAAACGACTTCATCTGAAGTTTAAGGTGATGTTTTATTGGCTATCATACAAATAAGGTACAATGTGGAGATATGATGGTGTGGAAATGTTAGTAACATGAATTTAAGCTTTTTCAGATTATAATTCAAAACTACATGCTTTCACATAAAGCATTGTGTCTCCTTACAAATATAGGAGGAAGACTTCCCACCACGAGATGACTTCAATGATGCTGACCAACTGAGAGTAGGCAATGATGGCATCTTCATGTTAGCATTTTTCAGTAAGTCTACATCAATTTCTTGTGGTTTGGTGTTTTATTCAATTAAAACGTTAGAATGATGTCATACTCATTCAGCAGTTTGAGCTCTCTAGAATGCATATAAATTGTAAGTACGATTTCTCGTTTGAAGTTTTGCGTAATCAATGAATAGATTGAGTGGGTGAAAGGATTTCATAGGACTCTGCAATAAGGTGAATAAACAGTGGCTTAGAACTTAAAATAATACTTACAACACTGTTTTGTAGGCTTTGCTTATCATATTTGCTTGTAGCATAGAGACTTTTTTTTTATTCTCTAGTGGAATATAAGCATTGCTGGCTGGGGAGTTGCCATCTTGAACCCTCCATCTATGTACCATAGACAGATCCACAACGCTATTAGGTACTGTTTCCAGGATTTTGACCGAGAGACTGTGAAGGAACAGTGATACATTTCCAAGTCAGGATGATGAGTGGCTTGGAAGGGAACTTGCAGATGGTGGTGTTCCCAAGTATCTGCTGCCCTTGTCCTTCTAGATGGAAATGATATGGGTTTGGAAGGTATTGTCGAAGGACCTAACACTAACATTGAATAATGGACTGGATCAGTTTGTGACAAAGTTAAGCACTAAAGAATTTCTACCAGTTTTCCATCATAATTACTGATAATGGACTGAATTGCTCCTTTTTAATACTTCCTCCTTCAATGTGCATGTTGGGATTTGCGTTTGCAACAGTGTACAAGTAATGTGCAGTTTGACTATCTAATGTAAAAGACTTGATTTTTGGCCCATTAATAACATCTGAATGACTGGCTTTTTCTTCTTTGCTGTTTGCTTTTAATTAACCATTTCTATTTAAACAGATTCAATAAATAAGTTTAGTAATTTTGTGATTATTACATCTAAATCTTTTCTTTTGCTCTTTTTGAATATTTCCAGTGAGCGTAAAACATGGTAATGTCTTGGACACAAGACAATTTTTCTGTCCAACTTCTACAATAAACCGCTCCTCATATCTATTGCTCTGATTCTGGAACAACTAACCTTGAATTACCATTAATAGAAAAGGCTAATTCAATTTAATTGAAAAAATATTTGTTTGGTAATCTGTATTATGAATTTATTTTTTTCCTTGACATCTTTTCAAACAGTGTTACTTAGCCCATGAACACTATACATCACAGAACTTTGTTGATTCCAAATTCTCTACTGCTGTGAACTTTTCTGAATCTGTATTGGCCAAATCTTAAAGAACTGACTTAAGTTCCCTTCCATTTTTTCCCCTTGGGTGAATTTGCAAAGCAGGTAATTTCTTCTGATATCTCAGCTTTCACAGTTCACAAATCACTCCCATTGTTTCTCCTGATTCCTTCTAATGAAAGTGCATTTCCTTTTGTAATATAACCCAAAACTGAACACAGTACGCTAAATGCACTGCATAGGGCCTAGTACACGTTCAAGTCAGTCTTTAATAGTATGATTATGTGCCCTTAATTTCTCTCTCCTGCTGAATTAATAAGTTTAACAGTCTATACATCAACCACTCCCCAACAATTCTCTTTCCACTGTGCTCTGAGAAATATGTTGGTGCTTAATGTATACTCCATCTTTCTCTTCCACAATTTCCATTTACATGTTACTCGTTAAATGCCTTGGAACACTTTAAAACAAATAGAATGCTGACCGTCAGAAAGACTGATTGAAAGTTTGGACAAAATGAATAAGTTCTGAGAAGTAGCAAAGCAGGAAGATTTAGAGAAGGAAGTACTGCAGAACAGGACTCCAATAGGCGAAAGCTGTGCCACCAGCAATAGGGATTGAGTTTGCAAAGGAGGTCAACGTTTAAAAATGAAGGGGACAGAAGGAAGTTGCAGAGACAGGGTACAGCAAGAAATTGAAGACGGGTGTGAGCGTTTTAAATTTAATGCAATCAAGAACAGGTTTGCAAAATGGAAATAGTTGGGGAAATAAGACTTGGTGTGGAGCAAGAAGTTTGCAAACTTTGGAACCTGTGGAATAATAATAATAAGCATTGGAATAATAATGTCCTCAGGTGGCAATGGTATGGATGAGGGGCTGAGGTAGGATGGAAATGGACGGTGATGCACTAATGCAAATAAATGATCTGTTTAATAAGATGGGTTTTATTTAATCTTTTGACTCTACATTTGTCAGAGCTAAATTCCATGTGATATTTTTTCTGTTCCACTAATGTAACTTTTCATCCTTTTATTGCAAATTGGTTAGCTGTCCAGTTTAGTGTCATGTGCAAATTTGGCCCTTTTATTATTAACTTGTATTTGTAAAGCACCTTTCATGTAAAGAAACATATAGGGTCTCTTATACTAGGTGTAATGCAATTCACAACCAAATCAGGAATATAAATATCAGGAGGGTTGATTCAAATTTTGAATCTGGAGACTGTAGAAGTGGAGACATTTAAAAAGGCTATAGGAGAGAAGGGGCTTGAATCAGAAGGAGGTCACAAAGAGAGCGGTGTCAAAGGAACAGTATTTGAAGGGGAATTATGGCTAAAGACTACAGAAACTGAGTTGTGCAATCCAATTGAATCTATAGACGAGGCAAGCATTTTGAATTGGAATGTGTCAGCAACGCCGGTTAGCCAAGACAGACTGTGGATTCCTAGGATGGGTAGTTTGTTCTATGATGAGATATTGTGTAGAATGGGCCTGGAGTTTAGAAGCATGAGAGGTGAACTGATATAGGATATGTAAAATTTGGAGAGGACTTGTGGCGTTGGTGCTAACAGGCTGTTTTCCCCAGTTTGAGAGTCAAGAATTAGAAATATAGCCCCCAAGAATTTGAGAGCAGTGTAATAGTGGTAATGTCTCTGAAATAGTTATCCAGAACCCCAAGCTAGAGACATTTGTTCAAATCCTATCATGGCAGGTGGTGAAATTCAAATTCAACAAAAATTCTGGAATAAAAAGTTAGTCAATTGGTGACCATAGAATGTTTGGTGTTCTGTACTCCAGATAGAATTTGAGTATTTTCAAAGGCTGAGAGTGACAGATTTTGGACTCTTTAAGAATATTGAAAAAAATTGGAGGTGAGGTTCAAGATCAGTCATGATGTTACTGAATATACCTATAGGCTTGACAAGCATAAGAGCTAAAGTCAAATAAAGGACAACAGATGTCCTTGCCTAAATAAATTCTATTTTAAAAATTGACTCTGATAAACAATGAATTAAACATTCAAATTTGTACTGTCAAATTTTGCAGTTACATTCCATCCCCTTGTAACTGTAACTTGAAGTGCTTGGTGTTTTTGGACAAATCATGCCATCTTGTGGAATTTTGAAGAATTGCTGTGCAGGTCTTAGAATGCATTACACCTAGCAAATACTTGGTGAAATGCTGTTTTACTTTGTTTTCTGAGGAATATTACGTTAGATACAACTTTTACGACTTTTTTTCCCTCCATTCAGGTAGAATTCAAACAAGTAGTAACTTGGTTAAGTTTAATATCGTGCTGGATGTCATGTTTAGCAACGCTCATGCTCTAAGCTTCTGCTGCTCTGCTGGCAAGTGATAAAGCTGAGGAACTGCACAGTCAGAACAATCACTTCTTCAACTTTTTAGAAAGATCTCTGATTTGAGCATTACAATTTCTTGTCTAATGTGGCTATGCCCTACCAGATATGTTTTTAAGAGGAAGATTGCGGATCCTTAAGTGAGGCTTTTGGCTTTGCATTTGACAGGACGGTAGTATTGTGTTCTGTTATTTTAATAAACAGGGGGAAATTCTTTCATGCCATCGGTACACCTGGTAGCTGACATATTATTGCCTAGTTCAGAGGGTATCTCTCTCACAACAGCTCCTAAAGAGGCTGCATAAAATTACTGTACCCAATATGGACTGCGTTGAAAACAGGCCCGTGTGTATCCGGACATCACCACTCCACAAAGGTATATATTGGAAATCTGGATGGACTGTCCTTTCACTAGACATGAAAGCTTCTGTACTCATAGTTTTCTTCATCTGAATCAGGATATTACCAAAGTCCTACCAAGAACAAAAGAAAGATATTAAAGGAACCACTCAGTTTACTGTGATGGTTGGCGATCTTGCCTTCTGTCTCTCAGATTTATTTTGCTTCAGAATCTTCACATAAAATTGAAGTTTGACTCATGACATTACAATGTAGGAGCAAGCCATTGACCCATTCTATGCATAATATACGTGATGTCAGTTTGCTTCTTTTTCTTTACCTACCCTCACATTGTTTCATATTTTCAGAAAGCTAATTATTTTAGATGATTCCATTTCAGTCTCAATATCACAGTCCTCCAGCCAAGCTGTATTCTATTTTGTGAATAATAATTCTGCCCTCCATTCCTTCATGTAGTGTGAATCATGAGTTAATACCTCTGTACTAATTTTGACAGATTTTTCAAAGTTTTGATTGTGATTGATGTGTTGAGTATTTAACATCAAACATCTTACTGATGTGCATGTCATGTTGCATTTTTACAAGCACATTGACCTCATATACTGTAATACAAATACCCTTTATCTCTTGCTTTGTTCAGACTGTCTAGAAGTGAAGCTCAAATCTACCTATGCCATTCAAATGCTTGTGTAACCCTTTTTCTGTCAGCCTGACGCCATTTGAATCTCATCACTAATTCCTTCATTTTCTGCCTCTCTTCTCCATTCTTGTTTCCTTTTTCTTTCAACCTTCACTTAAATATCTTTCTATAGTTGCACTTCTTGCCGTGAAATTTCTTGTTTTTTTTTAAATTGGGTCTCTCTCATTGCTTAGCTCCCTCCTCACCCCTTCTAATTTGCCCCACCCTACCCTACTTATTGTCCTACCCTGGAGCCACTGCAGTGGGTTTCTTACATCCCTGTTTGGGTTTCTTGCACCTCTATTACAGTTGTGCCCCCTGGTAAAAATCTGGAATGTGTCTGTGGTCTGTTTTTCTAATAGGGGAGAATGTCATGGTATATGACACATTCCAATAGCAAACATTCAGAGGGAAGGTCCTTGGTT